ACAAATTGCTCATGTAATCATATGTACTGTCCAATCTTACCTCTAATAAACCTTGTCAGTAATGACTTAAATAAAAAAAAAAAAAAAAAAAAAAACCAAAAATTTTTAAATTTGAAGTTTTTTTTTTTTTTTTTAACTAGTCCAACTGATAGGACAAATTTTTATTAAGGTATTAGTAGTATATTTTAGATTACATAAGCAATTTGTATAACCTTTTTTAAACTATCTTTTCTAATCAAGTCTATCAATTTTACCATATAATGACACTATTTTCACCAGTTGCTCTGCTCTGCTTGAAACTATAGTGTTCCGAAGATCTGCTATAGACTTCTTATTGTTAATCTTTAAGGAGCTTGTGTTGTGTATTCCTTAATAGGAACTTGTTTACCACTTGATAATTATAGATATTATGGACGATTTTTCCTATATTTAGGTTCTTACAGGTTAGTTAAAACTTAAATAGTGCAGTTCTCTGATCATGTTCTTGATATTCAGACAATTCAATAATGTTACATAATTGCGAGCATATAACCTTCAATTGTCTTATTTTTAATTACTCTTACAAGTTGGCCTATAGATATTTCTCTTGGTTATTACTTTCTAAATTAATTTTTTCAAATTTCTAGTCTATCCCAGTGGTTTTCAATATGGTATTAATGCTAATCACCAGCCTTTGCAATAGCTGTCCTTTTTGATAGCCATTAGTTTTATGATTATAAAAATATTTCATTAATTGTTATTATGGTTTATTATATTTTAATAGGTACAAATGATTGAAGTCTTCCTTATCTCTTATAGGATATATTTTTGACAAGAGGTAAATGTTCTTTCCATATCCATTAAGAGATTTGAGCCAATTGATATTTTTTCTTGGCTTGTTTTTGGATCTTTACATATCCTAGACAATAGGTTTTTTTGAAGTTTTTCTTTAGTGCTAAAATCAGCCAAGACTTGGATAATCTAATTTTTATACTGTGATCAGATGGTAAAAATTTATAGGTTATTTTTTAGTACAAAGATGTATATGGTAATGAGCATATATATTGTACAATATAACTTATATTGTAGAAACTGTTTACAAGTGGGATTGAACTGGTAACTCATGAATAATAATTTGAAAGTATACCCATTATACTATTGATCTGCAAATCAAATTTGAAGTTAAAAAATATTTTAAAAAATTTAAATGTATATATGAATTTAAAGTTAAAAAAATTTTTTAAAAGTAAATATATTAGTTAAAAATTTTTTATTAAAATAAAGCAAAGTTAATTTAAAATAATTATAGTTAAATATGATTTGAAATAGGTTTAAATTGAATTAAATTGAATTCAAATTGAACTGAATCAGATTTGAATTAAATCAAATCAAATTTAGATCAAATATTTTAGTTTCAAATAGAATTAGATTAGTTTAAAATAAATTAGATTCATATCTGATTTGTATTTATAAAAACTGGTTCGAATTAAATTTAGTTAAAATCTGATTCAATTTGATTTGTTGTAATCACTACTTAAGAGCATTATTACTGTATTATTGATCTATAGATTATAAATTATATTTATTTTTCTTGTCATTAATTATTTTATATATATTTAAAGTAATTTAATTTTTTATTATCTTGAAAAAAAAATTTTATTAATTTATCATTAATTCTTTTCATTGATTTTCTAATTATATACAAAAATGATGTTTGCAAGAAGTTTTTAACTTCTATGCCAATAAAATCTTTATACTTTCTTTAAAACAACTTGAAAATTTTTCTTCAAGAGTTATTTATATCTCTCCTTTTTTTGTTTACAATTCTTTTTAATTATAAATTTGATTTCTAGTGATGAAAAAACCAAGTAACTCTTTTATTGCTAATGGTAAGAAAGTTTTTAAAGAAAAAAGAATTAATAGTAAAGTACTTGAAGGTTTCTTTTAGCTTTGTTAAGACCAAATAGGTTCTGTATAGTAAATGAAACTTATTTTTTTTTCTCTTTACTATTGCTTCCCTCTTAGAGTTATCACATTCACAATTTTCAAAAGAATTTTACCTATCTCATTTGATCCTGAATTTTAAATAGCATAAACTCTTATCAAAGCTAATTGATTAACATGAAACACATTGGTTTTTAAAATGTAAACAAGCTTCTATTGGTTATATATACTGTATATGTCTGGATGAAATACTTTTTTCTAATGTATCATTGAATATCAAGAAAAAAAATAATTTTCAAGAAAACTATCTATTACTACTTAGAAAAACAAGAAAAATAAAATGTTCAAAAAGATATAGAATGAAGACAAAACCTTGAAAGTACACTACCTATTTATATAAGTTTGAAATATTGAAAGACTAGGAAATCTTCTGGAATAAATTATATTAATTGAAAATAAAATCAATTACCAGTAGAAGGTATTACTATTGGCATAGTGAATCAACTTCTTCATAATGGTGGTACTCCAAAAGCAACATTTATTAAGACCAATAAATGTATATATTAAAAAGATCAAGATTTCTTTTCTAGATAAGATATTACAATAGATAAGTAAAAATAGATTCATTGAACAACAAAGATTCTATCCCTTATATTCTCTTCTTTATAGTTTCTTTCTTCTTAACTCTCTTTAAATCTAGTTCTAGATATTCTTGAAAACCCTTTGACTTGTCTAGTTACTTGAAAGAATATTAAAAAGAAGACATAACATAAGTAGATTAAGGCAAGATATATAATTAAAAATTTGAAGATATAAGAACTATAATATAAAAGTATTGAAAGTAATTAAAAAATAGATATTATACTCTTGACTAATAAAGTTTTCAAAGAGTATCTAGTTAATGATACAAAAGTATTAATAATAGTATGGTCTCAAATATCAACTTTATAGTGAATTACTATTTTCTCTCTCTTATCAAATCTTTTTAAGATGTAAGCAAAACTCTCTTTTCTATTAACTCTTATATAACTATTGTTTTCAATTATTTTTTCTAACAGTAGACAATTTTTTAAGAAAATTGATATATAAATATACAGTATATCCCTTCTATTGGGTTAAAATAAACAAATTAGATTTGATATACATATTAATTCCTTTTAAAAATTTTTATCTTATTAGGTTTTTATTTGGAGATAGCTCAATTATAAAATGATTTTTTAATCTATTAGTAATTTATTAACTTATTATTGTTTTCTTCTAATCAAATATATCTATATAGTAAAACTTTACTAATAAACTTGGTCAAACCAACTTATAAAAAAAAACCCCCACCATCTTGAAAAAAATTTATAATTTATAATTTTCAATTTTTTTATTACTTTAAATTAGCAAAGCTAGTCTTATTAATATTATCTTAAGAATTCATTTTTATATTTCAAAAAATTTTTTAGAAATTAATGAATACATTTAATTAATCCATTTTATTTTATTTGAATTTTTTTTTAAAAATATAATATATACTATAAAACAAGTTAATACTTTACGTAAACTCTTTTTAAAAAATAGATTATTGATTTAAATTAATTAATCAATTCATCAATCGCTTATTCATTAATAAATTTATTATTATGCAATTTAAATATAATAGATCCTTGCCCAAAAGAACAACACTATTTTATTAGAAAATTTTGCATTGTAAACTTGATATTATTTTTTGCTCTTAACTTTGTAAGTTTTAAATTTTATTTTAGACCAAACCTAAGTTAAACGATTATTAATTAACAATCGTTTGATTCTTCATTTCAAGTATTCTCAAGTCTGTAAAAATTTTATAGTATTATATGATAAAAGTCTATTATTCTTGTACTGTATATTAAAGCTTCCGGAAAATTTTTTTCAAATTTGGAACTATTTCTGTAATAGGGAAATGTTTTGAAGATTGTTGCACGTGCTCTAATGTCACATCAGTATAAAAGAATTCCGCAGATTTCGAATCGCCAAAGCTCAATCAATGTCCAAAGTTCTCGAAAACAGGATAGATGTCAAGCTCTTGGAAATTAAACTTGCGCAGCTCGAAGCAAAGGTTACTGACTCCTCTATGCTATTCTCATTCACCTTTTGACAAATTTTCTAACCTTCCTCTCACACAATTCTATTCATTCTGTTTCTTCGTAAATCAAAATCCTTTATACGATCTTTTCTATCCCTCCATTCGCCTGTAGTTTCGAGAAACAGATATACTAATTTCCGAATTGTCAAGCTTAAAACCAAATGCGGTAAATATTCTCGTTTGATCACATCTGTTAATTCACGAAGCAAAAAACCTTTTTTCATTGTTTATGTACGATTGTGTTTAATAGACAGTATATCAACGAAAAACGAATAACAACGTATTCTTCGCAGAGGAGAATAGTGACAAACAAACAATCAAAAATGACAAAAAAAGTCGAGTAGATTTATCCATGATCGTATTTCGGGGTAGTTCTGCCCTGATAACTGAATATTTCTATTGAATTTCAGATGAACTCGAAAAGTTGAAGAACGAAATTCGAAAGACCAAGGAGAAGCTAAAAACATTGAATCAGAATCGTAGAGCATGAATCCGTTTTCTGACTATTTTTTTTTAATAAAATTTACGTTTATGATCACATGATCTAAACCGATTGCCGCAACATAATCGTCGATCAATCCACAAAAAATAATTTGCACATGTAATCAAACAAAAAAAAAAAAAAAATGGAAAACTTGAATTTAAAGCACCGAGTTATCCTTGGATATCCTGATATAAATAATTCTGGAGTTCGTGTGGTGTTAGGAGTTAAAGAAGGATGCATCACCGAGTCTAATACACACATATATAAGTACGATGATAATAATTGTGACGACACGAACAATAGTATCTCCTTGAGCCTTACAAATACTGAGGATGTTGAGTATACATTTCTCCAAATGAAACGATTACATTTTATTGTGATTAAAAACATTTTTAATCTAAACCACCCTTTTAACTGAAGTAGACTAGTTACTTAGCAATTTGTAAATTACCACCACTCTCCAGAACGGCTCTTTTCATAAATTCATTGGTCACGCTTTTCTGTAAACACGAAGTGTTGGAAGTAATCGTCGTGGCATCGATAAATTTTTCGGAAAGAGAAGATTTTGTTTATTATGGTTGTTTACTAGAGAATGACGATATCGAGGTTGAAGGCAGAGGTATTATAATTTACCCTTTTTTTTTTTTTTTTTTTTTAAACAGTTTATCCAACGATACTTGATTTTCTGAAGGAAAATTAAAAATCTTATCTTCTACTACGAAATTACGGGATCACTTTTTCAATACACTCTTCACCTTGTTGAAAGTCGAATATATTCGAACAAGATGTTTATTGTATCCAGGAAAACGGACTAGTGGTAAATTCGACGGGGACAACTCTTATGAGGTAACCATACCAGGATTTTAGAATAGCACCTGAATTCTATTTAAAATCAAATTCCCCACATACTTTATACGCAAAGGTTAGAATACTAAGACACCTAGTTGAAGGGTTAAGAGAACTATTACGCGATGACTCAATAATCTCAATGGACAAAGTCTTAAACACGACGTTGCCGCTGCAAGAATTGGAAGAGAAAGAATTGGATAAAGAGGATAAATTTGATACAATTTACATGTGAGACTGATCAGCGTAGGAAATATGGATGTGAAAAAATTGAATGGAGCATTGTTTTTAGATGATTTTAGCGGGAGAATATTACTTTAGTGACAAATAATCGACCAAGTGATCAAGGGTCAGCTAAGTTAACCAAGTATGCTGACCTTGGTCGGCTGAACTGTTAACCCTTCTCCATCAGAATCAAGCAATAATAATAATAAAGAGACATGATTCATTATCTGTTACTTGTGGCTTTAATTGATTATTTTACTTTCTATTCAATTGTTGCACCTGTTTTCCCACGAACCTCGAAAATCTCAATATACTACCGCTACGGATACCATATTCTTGGATCGGCATTTTATCCTGTAATAATCGTTGATTCTCAAACATTAGGCAATAGGTTTTCCAAATGTATTTCCTATTTGCGTGCAAAGGAATAGAAAGGAATTAATGAGCCAGCATAACAAAAGAATTGTGTTCCATTTGAAATGCCTCCCAAGTTTGAAAAGAAATACGATAAACACGTTTAACAATGTCACACACCAACTGATTTTTTTGTTAAATCCGAGTTCTTTATTTCGATGTTCAACCTTTAGTCTGATTAACTTTTTTATATCGGCAATCGTAGAATTTTGTCGAACCACCAAAACTTTATATAAAATATCCATAGTTAACGTATCCAAAAAGTTCGCTGTAGACAATGAATGAGCCAATAGGAAAATGCAAGACCCAGAACATACCAATCGGCTCTAGTCCTTCTCGCTCAACCCTAATCTCGAATGCCGTACCAGTCTCCAAAGCGATCAAAGTATCTACTTCTTCCACGCTGATATTGCCTTCCTCATTTAATTTCGCTAGGTCCGACAATAAAGGATCTTTTAATAATTGTTGAAGCATTTTTTGAGTTTGAGATAATTTTGCAGAATCATCAGGAAGATCAGGTTTATCGGGAGATGAAACAATGGGGGATTTGATTGATTCTTTAGAGGTAGAGGTTGGAGCAGGAGAGGATCCATCGGAAGGCGGTAACAGTGGTAAAGATGGAACTAAGGAAGAATCATTCATTTCGGAAAATCACGTTGCAAATCATAACATCATCCATTTTATTACGTAATAAGCTTAAAATTTTGAAGAGTTCGTGCGCATGTACACAAGTGGGCCACATGGTGAAACCATGGTAAGGATAACAAACGATCCCAAATCGAATTTTGGAATTCCACTTCTAGTCATCATAAAACAAATCTCCACTTTCTCAATTTGTTGTGATAATAAAAATGTGTGTAGGAGTTTGGAAACAATTCAAAGATTTCCTAAATTCGAGAGGCGGAAATGTTGTTGACTTGGGTATTGGTATGTGACTTTCATTATGAATAGGAATCGAAATCAAACGTAAATAAAAATGTATTAAATATTGTATATGACCAACTTTTATCGCATTTCCAAATTTGCAAATTTCGTAATGAAAAGGCATCATCATTGGTTCCGCGTTCAATATGGTGGTCAATTCATTTGTGGTAGGTATAACATGACAAGCCATATTTCTCGATCCTCGGGGAATAATACATTAGTAACTCGAATTTTTTTTTTAAAAAAAAAAAAAAATAGAACGATATTTTAACACCACCGATTGGCTTGATTTCATATGGTACATGTTATGAAAGTATTTTGATTCTATAAATTCAAGGTATAACAACAATTTGAACATTATGATTTGATCATAAATGTAGGCACGAGCCTTCAGAATTATTTTATCGTCATTCGTCACGGCAAGACACCAAATATAACTTACACTACCCCAGAGCAGGCTAAAGACGACGGAGCAGTGTACGTAAAATCAAAATCAAATTTCCGGCGAAATTATCATGTGACATGAAATTGATTGAGTTCTTTGCCTATGTTTTAGAACCGAGAACGTTGGTCTCTTCCTTAACAGTGTAATTAATTTCTTTTTGGTGGTGTTTACTCTGTTCTGGGTGGTTTATGGTATGTCGACAACTAATGAATCAATCTCAACCCGAGTGTCGTGAGCTACACATCTTTCAAGCCTCTAACAATATAATCTCACAAATCACGTAGGTTACAATAAATTTAAAGAGTCAAAAAAGAAGGTTGAAGAATCCACAACACAAGTGTGCCCATGGTGTAGTTCTTCTATCTCAAAGGATGCTATTAAATGCATGTATTGCACTAGCATTGTAAATGAAAAAATTCCTTCACAATATAAGACGGATGGCGCCGGAGCCTCAAATAATAACTTGATAGACATTCAATGAATGATGTTTTCATTCTAAAGAAGAAACATCAATAATAATTTATAAATTGTGATCTCGGCATTGCTATCAAGACAATAATAAACATTATCCCATTTCTTGATCTTCTAACGCCACTTGCTCGTATTCTTCTAAATGCCACCCGATGTCTGATTTAAAAACCTTATAGTGATGAAGTTGATGTGCCAATGATCTAATCACCTTATCGCTGCATTGGACAAAGGAATTGGATAAATTTAACAATCATAAACAATAACATCAACGGCATTCACTCACCTAGCTTTGGTTTGACACCATATACAATAGTCGTCTATCCATATTTTTGAATAGATATAGTATACGTCGTCATGATCAAAAACATCCTTCATTTCTAGTAACACCTTCAGTATCGCCCTCCTCCCCAATTTCATGAGAACGTATACATCTTCGAGGCATCTTTCAGATAATTCGAAATTCCGGTAACAAGGGTACGCCAGTGATCGTCTAAATAACGAGATAATTGTTTCTTTGAGTGTGGCGAATTTCTAAAAAAAAAAAAAAAAAAAAAAAAACCCAAGTCGCTTATATCGCATCAACACTAATAAACCAAGATATTAACACATAATATTGTTCACACAAACCTCGAGGCAAGATATTGTGGGGCTAATCTTTCCCATTGTCCAAGCCGATTCCACGTTAATTTCACCTTCGTACACCCTATTATTATAGCTATATGCGAACAATAAATCAACAAGTCCAAAATAGATCGATTTTATATCGTGCAATATATCTGAAAACAAAAAGTGAAACCTTAATACATTTATTATTTCACATGATAAGCCTACTTCAAAAATTGCTCACAAAGTTTGTTCGGTAAATTTAACATCATCGACTTTTCCTTTTCAGTAAATTTCAAGGTGCCATCATTGGCGTTTTCGTGATCTTTTGTATCTGATTTCACATCACCAGTCTCTGTCGGTTCGATCTGCTATAGTAAGTAAGAACTTATATGTAATTAATTGCCATGATAATGCGTACTCGAAATTATCAAAAAAAAAATATATATATATATATATATATAAATAACATACCCCTTCACCATTTCTTAGATCCATAAACGCATTGCCAATTGTTTTTGTGATATTTACATCACTTGCATCGTTCTGTTGCACTCGCCTAAGTTCCTTGGTCCATTTGGTTTTGTATTTTAATATGTGTCTTATGTCTTGAGCGCCCATGAAGTCGGCACTAATCCGTGATTAAATAAGAATACTTTATGAAAATGAAAGATTTGCGCGTGAAAACAAATAAAGATCGCTAATTACATATAGTGATCAGGATTAAATTTATCATTCTCAGCCTTACATCGATCCTGACGACGAGATTCGAACGTAGACCTTTCCGGATCTGAAACATCTATTATTTCATTGCAAGTTTCTTGCAAGTGCACAAAACATCCAGAGTAACACCCATTAAACCCATAACTGGCAGTCGTGGATAATAAAAGTTCCTAAAGAATTAGAACGCCAATTAATTTATGAACAACATGAGGGATAATAATCATGAAATGGATATTTACATCTTTCTCGGGAATTTCCTGAGGTATCTCCCAATCAAAGTCATTGGCTGCCATTCCAAGAAGAAATTAATTAAATAACTATTTATCCAATATGTTATTGTTGTTCAAATACTAATCACCTTCTTCTATAATCTTCAACATCCTTTCCATCTCAGGATCCTCATCATTTACACCACTGATAAAGTTACGGACCATTGGTTTATCCTGTCCTTCGCCTTCTTCCCGAGTCACGACCATATTTTCCAATTCTTTCGCAAATTTTTCATCTTCAACGTCATGATCATCATCCTCTTTTTCATTTTCTCCCACGACCTCTATTAAAGGTTTATCAGGAATTCTGTTTTTCCTCGGTGCTAAAAGCTTGGTTAACAAATCCAAGTCTGAAAATTCTTCTCCGGGAGTTTCTTTTGGTAATTTTACGACGGTTTTTCCAATTGACACGTCATATGAAGCTTCAACGCGTTCGTCATCTACCAAGTTTCCCGGAAAATGGAGGCTTGCGCAAGTGGTTTATTTATTTATTTTTTTTTAGATGCAAGAACTTTAGAGTAACACGTAAAACTGCATTGGGAAAGTATTGTTCACTAACCGCAAATAATAGGGTTTTGCGTAGAAGGTAAAATCAGGACCGTCACAATAAAGTTCGACGTCTGTCGCCTTTATAATTAAATTAATTAGAAATATCTTTTCTTGAGTCGCTAAATTCAAAATTTGCCTCTCAAAACCTTCTATTTCGTATTGTCCTTTAATATTACCTTAATGTATGGTGTCCTCATGCATATTGACACGAGTGTTGGGGTCTGGCTGACTGTGAACGCGGGAGTAATCATTTCGATTATAACCCGGTCGAAAATATTAAAACTAATCTATCTTTATACACCTGCAATAAATTGATTATGCGCATATATTCTAATAAAAATTTTTTTAAAAATATAACTACTTTTGTGATATCTTTATTATTAAAAAAAATGACATCATATTAATTGGGGGTTTTTTTAAAAAAATTTTTTTTGCAATTTTGTATAATTATTATTATTATTATTATTTTTTTTTTTTTTGAGTACCCGTAGCCAGGCTAGATTGTCAATTTATTAATCAATTGAAAACATAAGTACATTTTTATTCGAGCAGCATGACTTATACTACCACCAAACTATTATTCTAATCTAACTAACCCATTATAAGCATAAAAGTCTCTAAGTTTGGTCTTGAGGACAATATTTCACTTCACAGTGTCTTTGGGTAAAAATCTTCCTAGTTCATTGATCATTGTTAGCAGGTTGTCACTGCTATATGTTTAACCAAGCTGCTGAAATATAGGAAATTACAAAAGGATGAGTTGAAAAAAAAGGGAAGGAGGATATTTAAAAATATCTAAATAGACAACAAGAACATAAAAAGGTAAAAATTGATAAAAAATATTTCTAGCTTTCTTCAAAGACTTGCTTTTCAAGATCTCTTCTTAATAAAAAATGCTGATTGGAATATTTTTTCTTTTCCTGACCATCTGAGAAACTTATCTTTTTTTAATCATGATTTCCTTTTTGCATACCATCTGAGAAAATTTATCATCTAGTGAAAATCTTTATTTCTAGAATACACTTGATCCCAACTTTTTTTGACAATAATATTTTATTCAATTATGGTAGGAAGGCAACTTATGATGGATCTTAGATTCTTATGTGATCTAGTAAGAATTGGGTCATATTGTTTCAGCATAATATTTTCCAGCAGTTATACCTAATTAAAGGAATTTTACTAGTATATATCTTCTATTATCCAAAAAATCAGATTCTCTAATAATCTTTTTGCTTTGTAATTATGAAAGGGTTTTGAAAGAGATAGGAATTCTTGTTGATTGTGATATTCTTTAACAACTTCTGAGAAAATACATTTTTAACTATAACCAAAGGATTAAAACTTAATATGAATTAGAAACTATTTGATCTTATTACCTAACTAGAATAAAAAAGAGATCTTGGTCTTGAACTTTACCTAACTAGGATAATAAGAGAGAAAAATCTCAATTTGAATAAACATCAACTTTTTTATCACCTGGAAACTTGTTGTTTATATCTTATTGATCTTATGGAATTTAATTTATAAGTTAATCCAATTGGAGAAGTGTATGAACATGGGATATCAATCAACTCTTTTAATTATCAATGATGTTATTAGAACATATGAGATAATTAGTAAAAACTTGTTTATATTCAACTACTAATATGTTTTATATTAATCAATCAGATGTCAGGTGATATTGTACTATCAGAAATTCAGAATCAAATTGAGGTAGGCAATATTTCTCAAGAAAATCATAAAAAACAATAGATACTTTAAGAGGATACAAGACAGTATGTAAAAAGGTGAATAATAAGCCTTTTTTTATTAACAAAATCTCTATTTCTTGTCATCTCTAGCTCTATAAGGTGACACTTAACTTGTCAGTCCTTTTACTTTCTAGAACCTTCTTGCCTTTAGTAAAGAAAATACATACTTAAGTCTTTTCAGGTCATTAGAGGCTCAAGTTTTTATTTAAAGGAGTTTATAAACAAGTAAAGAAGAGTAAAAAAGGTATATGAAGACAAGCTTCAAGTTGGTTTAATGAAAATGTAAAGACTTTATTAGCAAAAAAGTATAAAACTTCTTATAAACATCTTTTTTATATATGGTTAGAGGATTAGTAAAAAAAGTTTTTGTGAAAAAGTTTAATAATAAGATTGCAATTTGTATAATTATTATATTTAACTATTTTTATATTATAAAGTATATAAAAAGTTTAAAAAAAAAAATAAAAAAATTCTCTTTGTAATAATTTTCTTGAAAAAAGTATAAAAAGAATCAATAATATAATAATTCTTTGATAATATAAATAATATGTAAGTACTTTTCCGCAGATCCCCATTTTTTCAGAATATTTCTTTTTTTGGTAATTTTTGAAAAAAGAAAAGCCAGCCCAAAAAACAAGAAAAAACCAATATCAAAAACCATCCACTTACAAGAAACACTATAGAAAACTATAGAATCAACTAGTCACAGTACAGGAACAAATAAGTATCTAAAAAACTTCTAATCTTTCTATACAAAATTTTTCTTTTTCAGAAAGAACAAATAAAGAGAAAAACTGAATCACAGTAAGCTCTTGGAAGCCCAATATCAACCTCACAAAGCTCTCAACCAGGCCAATGCAGAGAGACATCCAAGCTT